CGGTCCGCCGCCGGCGGAGCTGCCTGCGCACGGCGGGGATGAAGGGGCGTTAATGATTAAGCCCTCGCCAGGTTAATAATTAAAGCGAGATGGGGGAGCGAGGGAAGTGGCCCTGGGGGGTAGCGGGGTCGGCGGGTGTCCCCACGTGCCGCGGCGGTGCGGGAGGAGAGGGAAGTGTCAGGGAGCAGAGTTACCCAGGGCTGAGAAATCCCAGGAACCGCGTGTAAATGAAGCGGGGCTCGATTTAAAAGGCGAGTTGAGGCGGCCTTTGCCAAGGCAGCGCATTCCTGGTGCCAAGGGGAGCCCCGTCCATGTAAACCGCGGGCTCGGACCTTCCCGAAGATCGCTTGGCCACCAGGGCTTTGTGATTAACACTGGCACCCTCTTTTCACCACGTTCACTTTGAGATCTCAGTGTATCTTCAAGGGCAAGCTACTGGGAGGATAAGTCAAGGCAGACTGGGGATCATCCTTCCTGGATTGAGAGCGTGTGCGTTCTTCATATATATATATATATACATAAATATATTTATAAATTTAAGAAGGTCACTCGAAAAATTGAGAAATCGGAATCGTTCTCACATCTGCTGGCATGAAGAGTTACAGAACCAGGAGGGAGGAGCTGCCTTTCTTGGTGGTGGCTGGAGATTACTGCTCAGCAGCTCCGCTGTCTTAAGCCAAACATTAAACAGCATAAACCTCTTTAAGGCAGCAGCGCTGTCAGAAGGCTTTGAGGGGGTCGCTAAGACCACCCATGGTCCACAGACTTTGACTTTTGACTTCTAACCTCATGGTGCTGTTTAAGGAGGGCACGTGGGATGGAGAACTCGCTGACCTTCCTGAGCAAAACAGTGAAAAGTTGATAAGACAGCTAAGGAAATGAAATACAAAGGTGTTAGTGAGCATTTTTTTTCCCTAAACAGAGCCTGTCAAACAAATGTTGTAATGTTGTTTCATTAATAGAGAACTAATCTAGAGCACCTAGTCATTTCTGGCCTGAAAGTATGCAAAGATGTAAGTCTCTAAAGACTAAATATTAGGTCCTAATTATTGTTTGTATTTCCAGTATCTGTTGCTTGGTTGTAGATAACAGAGCATTAAGTAGTTCAGAATTGTGTAATCTTCTTTAATGTTGTAATATATAACCTTTTCTTTTTCTTTTTTTTTTTTTAAGTTTAAATTTAAGTTCAAAGTAAGTGATGATGGTACCAATGAAGGCACTGAATGCCTTTGAAATCAGAGGTGAAAGTGAGCATGTGCTAGGCAGGACAAACTGATAGATAAAGGCCTTGAGGAAAGGACTAAATACAAGACTGAGAATATGAGAAGGTCTTTGAGATGACGTGTAAGGGGAAGAGGGGAAGGACTGAGCACAGAAGTGAAGACAAGCCAGACTGTCAAATAAAGCAGAGTTCACTGGTGTGACAGGGTGAAGATGGGGATCTGGTTCTGCTTCCAAAGGTTTCCCTTGGAAGCCGTTTCGGGAGACCTTTAAAAATATTGTTAATAAATTTAGGTGTGTGCTGCTTGAGGTACTGTAAGTCTTCTAAATGTTTTAGAGGCATTTTATTTTATTAGTTGAGTTAGTAACTGAGCAGTGATTTTATGTATCTCTGGTTCTGGATGCCGAACTTGGGAACAGATACTTTTCTTGTATTTTCCTGATCCAGTTTCCTTCCGTTGAAGGTGCCCAGGAAGGGGCAAGTAGTTTTTAGACAGCAGAAAGAAGACTCTTCTTAACAGTAGAAGTAGTGCAACAGCTGGGGGTCTTGCAGAATTCCCAGCTTAGCAGTACAGAAGCACCATCCCTCCTGGCTGACGCAGGAGAGGCAGTTGTGCAAGCGCTGTTTTTCTGTGATTCTAAGACGTAGCATGATATAAAATCACCTTTGAACTTCTAGGAATGTTGCACTGTTGCTATACAGGTGGTACCCAAACTTAAAAAAAAGGAGCGTGGCTGGATCGGTTAGATTTAAATACGTAATGCTGCAGTTGTTTTGTCTAACACTGTTTGGCTGTGTTCTCGCTGCAACCAGACAGGTTGAATAATCAGATCATTTCAGGGAAATTTGTACCTGGCCTGCACGATGTGGCAAGACTTTCAAATGTCTAGCAGTTAACATGGAATACTTTATTTTACTACTTTACTTGCTTCATTACTAGCAAGTAGGCTTTTGTCACATCCCCAAAATACTGGATGTAGTAAATAAAAAAAAAATCCAAGTCATAGGTGGTAGATGTTTATTCCTCGAGGGGAAAAAAACATGCCAAAAGGATAGATAGAGTTCAGCAGAATATTGGTTTAACACTCTGCTCTGGAGATAGTTGCTTTGATATTATATCGATTTTTAAATTCTACTGTGATTATGGCAGGAGGCTCTGTGCTATTTTCTACCACAGTAGCGTTAGTGATCATTGAAAGAGTTCTTCGAACAGAATGCTACTGAACTGAATCCAGTTTTTCTTGTGTATTAGAGTTGCAATTGTTTATTTTCGTTTCCTAATTTCTCGTACTCCTTTTGTTGAATATTCTTAGCTTTTGATTTCTCAGCATTAACAACATAGCCCGAAGCAGCAATCCTTAGACTTGGATTCAGTTCATAAGCCTCATTGAGATAAATATTTGGTTAGCAACAGATTAGCATTTTAAAGCCTTGCTTATTATGGCAAGATTTACTGGCGCCTCTTATAAACATCCTGCTGATCCACCTCTGATCTTTCTACAGTCTGCTCGAGTATTTCTCTTTCAGCTCTAGATCGAAGGCCTCAGTTTTAAACAGGAGTGTGTTCTTAGTGTCCTTATTCCAACTGCCTCCTGGTTTCAGTGGTTTTGCTATCTTTTTTCTTTCCTTTTTTTTTCAATTTTTTGTTCCTGCTCCCTGAACGAAGGCTTATTCAAGCAAGTGGTGGTTCCTTACAGGTTTTCATCTCTTTGGGAGTTGCTGGATCAACCGAAGTTTGCAGAAACATGAGAGAGCTTTTCAAAGCCAGGGAGCTTTTCTTTTCCAGTCCGAATGCAGTATTTTAGGCTCTCCTTGTGCTGCAGTGGGCAAGTAAAGGACTTGGAGCTGTAGTCCCAGTAGGTGCATTCTGCTTCCTCTGCTCCTGTACCAGCCGCTATCTCCGTCCCAGAGCTGGGCAGAGCTCTTCTCGCGGGCCCCACGTGCCTCTGGGTTTGCTTGCCAGCTGCAGTCACACATTTCTCATATACTTTTTGGCATAAAGTCGTTAAAAATTGATTGGGTAATATTGATCTCGTATAGGTCACTGGGAGAAGCCAAGGTGTGGTATTTTGAACATCCTCAGGAATTCATGCATAATAACCTAGGTATGGACATCCCTTATGGCTTTGTTTATACTATGTCATTATGTTCTGGTGTAAAAATCAATGGATACCCTTAATCCTGCACTGATTTTACAAGAGCAGTGCAGAATTTCACACTAGTGGGTGAACAACTCACAGTCCTTTAGTATTGACATAGTTTTCTTCTACAGGGAAGGGCTTGTAATGCGAAATGTGCTTGTTACTTTCCTTGTCTCTAGCTCTCCTTATGAGTGGCAATATGGAAGATTTACAATAAAAGCTGGATGCAGCCCGATCCTCCTAACTGGTTTGGCCAGAGAACCTATGACCACAGAACCTATGCTATAGTATCTTTACGTATGGATATATGAATAATATAGCAAATTTCATGATTTGGTATTGTTCTTAACTAGACAGGAAAGAAGAAGAAGGAAATATTCCCTCTAGCTACTAGTAGGTCTCTCTTAAGCTGTCTGTTCTTGTTTCCAGTTACATTAATCATTATGAGGCACCCCACGGAGTGCTGGAAAATCTCTGCTGTATTTTTTCATGGATGTTGCTGTGTGTTGGTCAGAGAGAGGGGAAAACACAGCCAAGGGAGGCTGCTGCTTCGAGGAGTGAACCTTACTGTTTAGATTGTGTCATCTCTGAGTTAACAAAATCTGGTGCCTTTTGTGTTTTCTTGAGCATTATGTTATGCCAGAATTTTCACTTTTTTATTATTATTATTTTTTTTGTGGAAAGCTACAATAAAAATGAAAACCAAGTGTGTGAAATCCTTTTTAATTAAAAGATGAGAGTTTTCTGTAAATGTCTGGCTGGTGAAGAGACTATGACTCACACTACAGGGAATTTTGAAACACTGATATGAAACATGCTAGTGTCAAATGTGTTATGAAAGTCAGACAAATTTATAAGGTTTTATAGGAATTTGGGTTGGTTTCTCTTAGCTGCAGATGCTTGCTTGTTTGACTGTTACTGCCAAGAAATGAATAAGAACGTTTTAACTTCTGACCTTGTTCTGCCTAAAATATGTGTGCATGTCAATAGAAAGTAGTCTAGTAATGTATTTTCTTAATGTGAAATAATTTTATGTGAACATATATTTTATTCACTGAAAGCTTAATTTTAAAAATCGCAATGATTGATGCAAAATAAGTTAAATCAAGACCAAGTTTAGCAGGTTCTTAGTCAAGTCAACTAAGCTGCAGTGTCTTGCTAGTTTTGCTAGTAGTCTTATTGCTGGGTTATAGAATGAAAAATGACTTTCTGAACTGAGTACAGTATTTTATGAACTATATACTTCAAATGAATACTGTCATTCTTTATGAAAAAAGTTTTACTAGTTTGGAAAGCTTTCTGTTATATATCCCATTCTGATTCTTTTTTAGGTTTGTAGACGGTGAGCTGAATATTTGTTACAATGCCGTAGACCGTCATGTTGAGAACGGACAAGGAGAACACACTGCCATCATTTATGACAGCCCTGTAACAAATACCAAAGAGAAAATAACATATAAGGAACTTCTTGAACAGGTAGGTTTGAAAATAAGCCTCTGTACAGAGCCCTGGAACAGGCTGCCCAGGGAGGCTGTGGAGTCTCCTTCTCTGGAGATCTTCCAAACCTGCCTGGATGCCACCCTGTGCCACGTGCTGTAGGTGTCCCTGCTGGAGCAGGGGGGTTGGACTAGATGATCTCTAGAGGCCCCTTCCAACCTCAACCATCCTGTGATTCTGTGATTCTGTGAACGCTGTGTACAAATAAATATTGGACCAGACTCATATTCTGCTTTAATGTATTTCAGTGCACAAGATGCACTAGAGTGAATGAAACACACTGATTCAAATATACAGAGTGTCTGGGGTAATGTGGAAATGCTTAAAACACGCAATGGGCTTTACAATACAGTAGTTCAGTGTGTGAGGTTTTCTTTCACCTTGGGAAGAAAAGAGAAATCAGCAGCCACAAACACATTGCTACAAATAGCATTTTTTTCTACTCTGCTCTTTTATCAAAAATAAGGGAAAAGGATAAAATCAAAATTACCCCTCACCCTTTTGTTGTGAACTTAGCAACTCCAAAAATGAACTTAAAAGGTTCACTACAATGCGGTGTGCTGCAGTCAGAACATCTGGAGTAAGGAAGGGCTTTGAGAAATTAATAATCTCCAGAAGTGCCCAGATAATCATTTAATTATATTTACATACATGCACGCACACACATATGCAGATGTATAAAATACATATTTGTTTTATTTTAAATAAAACATCATTTTTATGTTAAATTATGTTCGGTACTGCAGTATTTAGTGCTCTGCTGAATTTTTCTCTAAAGATTATTTGAAATGCATCCCCCATTTCACTATTTAAATTTCTTGTTCCTATAAAGTCTTTCTTTTGTGGCTTCCTAGTTTGTGGCTATGTTTTATCACCAAATGTGTTAAATGCTTTGGGGTATGGAAGATTTTTATATAATGAAGGAGTTTGTGCTAGTCAACTTATACATTCTTTCCCTCATCTTTCTTACTCTAGCAAACCAAACCAAGTGAGAGAATTGGTTGAATTTGTCTGTGGATATACAGCAAAATTCATTTGGAAATCATTATAACCTTGCTGATAGCTGGGTTCTATCTAAGTATTGCTGTTAAATTCTGTACAGTTTGTTATTTTCTTTAATCAAAATATGATTGTGAAAGGCAGGAGCTGAGATTAGTATTAGTCTGTGGAGGTCTCCTAGTTTACTCTTGTGGGATGTCTTTAATACAGTCTATCTTTTAACTGTTAGAGACCAGATAACAAGTATCTTCACAAAGAGATTTGCTCACAATGAGAAAGATGTGGGCTGGTATATTTTGTGTCCTAGATCTTGTAGGGATCGTGAGAGATTCTGGAAAAGATCCACCAGACTGCTAGGAAGTAGGGGTTACAGTGAGCAAACTATTGCTTGTCACTGCCAGCCTGCTCAGAGTAATAGTTTTGAAAGAGCCTTTCCGTGCTTTGCACGTTCCTTAGATCGGTAACAGTGTAGATCAGACATGACCAAAAGTTGATGAATAGCTTCGATAGTAGTCTGGAGGTTTAGGAAGCTTCTCACTGCCTTTCCAGAGTTAGCTTGGTCCTTACCGTTTTGAAACGGCCAGACACTTGTGTGCAGGCTGTAGTTGGGACCCTCCACATCTAATGAAGGTTTCGTAGTCTGTCTGGTGAATAAACCATTATTTAGATGAGGATATGTGATCAGAGAGGCTGTCTCTTCAAAATGCCTTGACGAGGAAGAGAGAAGCATTTGAAGTGATGAAATCCTTTTGGGCTCTTGGTGATACAAGAGGAATTTGTAGGTGGAATCAATAGTAGATAGGGTAACTGCAGGGCACCACCTGGGAAGACACGGAGTTTTGTGTGTCATCTGCTCTAGGATCAAGGAGGTTGGGGAAGGGGCAGAAGACATGGGTGTTTGGCTGAACATAATGCAACTCCTTAGCGGGTAGAGGGTTGAACTATGTACTCAGGAAGTCTGTAATTTTTAAGTTATCCTTTTTATGTTGTCCTGGACTCCTTCACTGGCTGAAAAAGAAACCAGTACATTTGCAGGATATTTCAGAATACGCACATATGCAAAGCTTATCTGTGTATATTGTATGTATTTCTTTACATTTTCTTCAGGGCTACTGCAACTGAAGTTAAAACAATCGAAAAAAAACCCCCAAACGATCTTTCATTTTCATTGATATTCTGGAAGAAAATAAACCACTCGCAGAAAGAAGCAGGTGGAAGCTTCGGTTAGTAGAAGACTGGCTGCTAGAGCAATAAGTGTACTTCATGTCAGAAGGCTCTGAGATAACAGTAGGGTTTGGATTCTTAGGTTTTGTCATGTTGGAAAGTTGACTAGTTAATGTTACTTAATTAGATTTTAACATGCAGAAATTTTAACAAAACTGGAAATTGTTCTTTGGTCACTCAGATGTTGAGTCACTTCATTAAGGTCTGGTTTTCCCAAAAATACCATGCTTTTGTTTCGATCTCCTTCTCAGTGTGTAATTTTGTGCTGTAAATTATACTGAGAAGATTTGCAGTGGTGGATTACACTTTGAAGACACATCTGTTGTAGTAATCAAATCACCCCTGCACTTTGATCTGTGCTGGAAAAAACAATGAGCCAATTTAAAACAAGAAGGAAGCTTCCCATGGCTGGATGAACAGTACTTTATCACTTTTTTTTTTAATGTTATTGCCATTATAGAGGAAAACACTCATTAGTTCTTACAAACATTGGCAGGGACATGTTTTCTTTCATATCAAGAAAGATATGGTAAGCTAAAAAAGATTTGGAGATGGTAAACATCAAAAAACAACATAAGAAGGAAAAGACATTAGGTCAAATTATCCTAATTTGGGTCAGTGGTTAGAAACCTGAATTTTGCATAGTTAAGAATGAATTAGTAGGAAAAAAAAAGAGGAATAATAAGAGATGTAAGATGTCATCTACAGCAGTATTTTCTGTAGATGTCTAGGAGGATATGGAATGGAGATTGGAGCCTGTTAGTTATTATTTTTTTTTTTTTTAGTTTTGGTGAAAATAATGAAAAAGTATCTTTGGGGGAGTTGGTGAGAGTCTGTTTATTAAAAAAAAATGAGGAACTGAGGAAAAAATGGAATAATTTATTTTGGTGTAGCCAAAAGTTGAAAAAGAATAAAATGTAAGATTAGTAGTAATGAAAAGCTAAAGTTTTTGAATAATATTAGATCTGAGCCAAGAACCATTTAGGTTAAACACCAGATTGAGATGCTGAGTTTAGGAGGAATAGGGAAGTTAACAAATTGCATCCAAGCCATAGATCTGGAAAAGAAAAAGATGGATTTGCAAGTAATTAGCGATATCTCTTTTAACAGGCTTATTATGGAACCTGGATACATGGAATCATAATAGCATTAGCATTTATGGCTTCGTTTTGCATCTGAAAACGAGTATCTCTGCATTAATTATTTTTGGCAATTTGTGGTTGCTACGCTCTCATTTGGCTGTTAAATTCAAGAGGGAGTTGTGTTGTTTGTCTCAGTGAGGAATTACCCGTTTGCTTCGGAAAGCAGCTCCTCGGAAAACATGTGCAGTTTAGGAGGTGAGCTCTGCAGAAGCAGCACAGTTAGACTGCTCCCGAGTCACTGAAAGACTGTAACCCCATCTCCAACCTTATTTGTTTTTAGCCCACGTAAGAAACTCCATAGTTAAGAGAGGTGCTGTGACAGCTGCTGCCAGGGCTGCTTTGGTCTGTGACAAATGTCCTGGGAAATCCTGAGCTCCTGGTTGTGCTGGTGCAACGGGAGTCGCGCGGCTCTGGGCACTGCCCTTCCTCCATGTGCTCATGTCTGACTGCTCAGTAAATCCCATCCATCCATACCAGAACTAGCATTTTAATACTGATATAACCTGTGCGTTACAGTGAAATATGAAATTATTTGTAAAATCTTATTCTTCAAGAGTAGGAAAGGAGGCCTTGACCAGTAAGGCCAAGGCAATGTATGTAATCATGTTTATGCTGTAGACTCGGTACTTTTGTTTTGTGCGTGTACTGAGTTCTCTAATACTGCCGAATTCTTCCCCAAAGCTCTTTTCCCCCTGTTCTCCCTTGCATTCTTCTGGAAATTTCACTCATTGTAACTCAGTGTTCTGTTGCCAGCAGCTTAAACTAAACTAAGCTGTAGGAAATTAAACACCCAAGAAAACTATTTATTTTGCTTTTAGTGTTTTTTAAGCATTGCACAGCTTTTCAAATCCAAGAGCTAGGATGATGCTGCAGTTTTAAAGTGAAGCATCACTAAACTCTATAAGTAATTGAGAGAAAGATTGAAAGCTTTTGGATGTTCAGTGTCCAACTTGTGGGGAACTTTTTGTTTCGCCGGAACTGGAATAGAAGGATTGCAAGGCAATCTAGCTGAAAATCTAAGGCTCCTGTAGCTAGGTAAAACATTATGGAAATACTGATTAAATATGGTAACTAATCTAATAGTCTTGAGAATCAGTGACTTTAAAAGGTGCCAGGTGAAATGAAGACACTAGTTGGATTGTCTTAGGATGATGCGAGTATTTTTGAAGTTTTCCCGTAGGTTTTAGAGAGGCTGCTGTGGTGAGCACCGTGCCACTAGTTGGAAGAGAAGCTGAAAAACAGGTCTGGAAGCGAGCAGAGCAAACTGAGATTTTCAGCAGGTCGGTTCTTTTTGAGCTTTGTACAACAGCACTCTCTTCACAATTAGAAAGTCTTGCGATTGTTCCGGTTACTTGTAGTGAAATTTTATGTAGTGCATAAAATTGCATTATAAATTCCTTATTTAAACGCTGTTACAGGTGGAGGCCTGCAAATGCAAAGAATAGGACTTTGACAAATTTAAAACATGATCATCTTCCAAAATATATTAATCGGATATTTTGTACTTTGCTGATGCTTTTTATAAGTATGTAAGTGAGAATTATGGTGTTGAATTGATGCCAGTGACATGGGGATGTGTAGGTGTAAGCTTTGTGTGTGCCTCAGGAAATACTCTTAATTGCATTAGTGAGAAGGCAGGATAAGATAAAGGAGGTGTGATTCCATTACAGATATTATTCAATCTGTGAGGCATTAGGTAAGTAAAAAGATACCCAGAAGAATAGGGATCTGTGACTTCTGTTCATTTAAAACCAGATTTCTGGGTGTATTGAAAACTAGGAGCATTTTCCAGTTTAGCGCAAAGGTTGTTCGGTAAAACAAACCTTAGTTTGTCTAGTTTGCATCACTTACTAAAAATACCTAAAGAATTTGAGTGTTGTCAGCAGTTGTGGTCTCTTGATAGATTTTGTATGAAAAACAGTATGATTCTTTTCTGAGGTTCTTTTCAGTATCGGTGCAGAGTTAACATGTTGAATTCAGTGCCATAATAAATGACTTCTGTGTGCAGTAACTTGAGAGAATTATTTCAAAACAACCTCCACACACTCTTGGGTAAGGAAGTGCTTCACGTTATAAACGATGGCCTAAGGTGTAATTTCTTATGTAGGAAGGTTTTTCCATGCCTAAAAGCATCTTCTGAAATATCTGTATTGGCCACTGTCAGATTGTGTTTATGTTTGTGTCTGTCCTGCTCTTCTCCCACCTCATGTGTGACTGAGGATTCATCCAGACTGTTCTGTTTCTAGGTGCCTGGCTGATTCTCTGTGCTTTACTCCACGCCATTTCTTTTCCTTCTGCCTTGAAAAATGACCAATTGCTTTGTAGCTAAAGGCAGTAATTTTCTTTTGATACTATTTTTCATTCTTTCTCAGAAGTACCTTAGAATCCAAACTTGAATATAGATGGAAAATCCTACTGAGACTGACAACACAGCAGCTAGTCTGGTCAAGCAACTTTATCTTAATAAAACCATATACTAGACTTTTTATTTAGTGGTTTTTCTTCATGATCTTATTTAAATCTAAAATAATTTTCTTCAGTGAATGTTCTAAAAAGAAATGACTGATATCACTGGAATAGTTTTTAAAAATATATCAATATTAGTATTGTATAAAGGATGAGACTAATCAGGACTTTATACAGAGTAGTGTCTTGGGTTTTCCGATTCCGTACAAAAGACTTTTACATCACACCTTAAAAGTTGCAAAAGAAGCTGGAATTTGATCTTCCCTGGCTGAAGGTGGTTGCACTGCAGTATGTCAGCAGCAGCAGCAGCATTCACAGTAGCACGTAATTTGGACCAGTAAAAGCAGAGGGATGAATCAAACAGTGCTGAAATAACTGTTGAAGCTTCTCACACTTCTGCTCTGTGTGGCTTGTGGTTTTTGCTTTGGACTAGATTGTTTGGTCCTTTTTAAGTGAATGTCCCGTAACTCAATTCCAAGCTGTCGGAATCGCACACATCTTCCCTTCCCTAGCTGCGAATTCCTCTGGGAAGTGCTGTGCTTTTCCCTCCGCTGCCTCACTGCTGCTCCATTCCCTTCCCCACTGGAGTGTGCACACAGAGGACACCCCGGGGAGGTTCCGTGCTGTAGGAGTGGGGCAGGAGGCCGTGGGCTGCCCCTGGTGCCTGCCCCACATCCCTGCCCAGGGGAACGTTTGCCTGCACCCACCTGGTCCGTGCCGTGGATGCACTGGCATTAGTTTCATGTGGGACTGGAAGTGGTGCCATGTTCGTAAGCGTGATGGAACTGCTGTCACATCCCACCTCCTCCTTGGGGTGCCTGTCCACAGCTAATTCCCCAAGCCAGGAAGGAAAAGGCCCAGCCCGTGCCCTTCCACTAAACCTCCAGCTCCTTCTGAATCCACAAAACTTGTAAGCATGTGAAAACTGTTCATTATTCAACCCCGTAGGGTTTGAAACACCTCTTTTGAGAATCCGGTGGAATTTCTGCTTTAGTGTCTTCTGAAATTCTCTTGGCGTGGACCAGAGCTTCTCAGTAAACCCCTGGGATACCCGTGTGATTAACTTTAAAGCTCTCCTGCTTCTCCAAACGTGAACCCCCTAATGCAAAGCTTGTGTTTGGTGGCAGGCTAAATTGCAGCTGCACGTGCGAGGGTTTTGTAACTTAAGTCCAGAACTTCAAAGATGAAAGTATACCTCAGTTTCCTCTAATGTGCTTAGTCTGAAGTGATTTAATTACTAAAGTGTCAAATGTAGTAAAGCAATAAAGCAATCCTAAATTTTCAAGAAAAAAAAAGCACAAAAAACCCCCAAACAAATAGCATGCTGGTAGGAAGATCACAACTGTAAAAGATGGAGTGACAACAAATGCTGTCTTAATACAAACCATAAATGACAATAACCTTCCCCAAACTGGAAGTTTTCGTGACTTGTAATAGTTTGTCTCTTTTTCTCCTTCCAGAAAGGATGATTGCTGGGGCAAAGTAAACCTGCTCCTTGATGTTCCACAGTCTTTCCAAGAGCTCCAGACGAACAGTGTTTTATTATATATTATGTGATCCATACACTCCCTAGCTGTCAGGAGGAAGAGAGAAAGGACACAAGGAAAATCAGAGATACCCCTTTATTGAGTTATTGCCTTTGGTGACATTAGACTCTCCTGACTGGGGAAGTTAAGTGCAGTCAAGTAATCAGTATGCATGCATGGAAGACGTGTGGTTCCTGCCTGCAGCATATATTCTGCTTTAAATCCCGATCCTTGATAGGTTTCAATAAAAACCGCTTCAGGACATACTAATCTCTTCACTGTCTCCCGCCTACTTAAAGAATGCTAATGTTGTGCAGACAAGCACTGAAGTTATGTTGCTTATACACAAGCACTGAGGAAAGGTTCTGTTGCTGAATTTCTAATTTTAATCTTTAAATGATCCCTTTTCCTTCGCCAAGCAAATGCTGCCTTTTTTGTCATTAATAACAACCCTTGTCCTTCATTGTGTTTAACTTTTAATTGCTTACCATCCACACCGGTACCGAATAGAGAATCACTGATTAGATCCTATTTTAGTTGCCTCTGGTCTTCCTGTCAACAGGCTGCTCGGGAGTCCACAAGCATCAAAGATAACGTTTAGTCCCCTCAGCTCTCCTGAGGGCCAGTGATGCTATCTCTGTGTCCAAAATAGTTTGCAGAGTTTTAATGTTTTCATAATAGCGAGTACACACGAGGCATTTGAAAGCCGTGTTACTATCTTAATTTACAATTATTTGCATCAATCCTGTCTAGAAATGGCTGTAGGTGCCAGTGATACGGCTGTGAATTCTAGTTGTGTACATGTGCAGGTCCACCTTATTTGTGGTAGTCTTGGTGCCTGTCAGATTTTCCTAGACTATTGATAGACATCAACAGGGTTACGTATAAAAATATTTTCTGCTGTTTATCACTGAGGTTTAGTACAGGAGGTCTAGCAAACAATTCAGCCATGACCCTTGATTCCCGTTGAGCTTGGAGCTGGGGACGGTGACGGCTCTGCCTTACAAACATGCTCTCTGTCTTGCAGCTATGACGTTAACCTCTGGTGCAAGCATGTCTGCGTGGGGGCCTGTGTTTCTGTGTTCTTAAATCCCCGGGCAGAAGTAAAGAAATACCCTTAGTTTGATTGGGATGAGCTGTATACTTAATGGAAGTGTGGGTGAGGCGTTTGGAGCTTGTGGATGTTACTGGGTCGGGTTGCAGTAGGTCTGGACATGTGGTCCCAGTGAGGAGAGGTGCAGGGAGGTGGTGCTGTTTTTTTCTTCTTGTGTACATGTATTTGATAGAATTTTAAGGTTTTGAGTTGCCCCAGCTTTTCTTGAATGTGAGCATACCAGAAAGCACCGAATGAATTATTGACTCTGCTCTTACCTGTCCCATTTCTAGAATGCCAGTCCTGTGCTGGCATGTCTCTCTTAAGGTCTCTACATACCAAGAATAGAAATGGGTGAGGGGAAGTGAGGGGACAAAGAGGTTTCTTCAATATATATACACCTTAAATAAATGCACTCCTGTGAATTTGTATTAGCAGTTGGTTCAGGGTATTAGATTTCTTGTTAGGTACTAAGAGGCCTACAACCTTGCAGGACAGGAAATTGGAAAACTTGCCTTGTGCCTGGCTTTATGTTTCACATTTAGTTAATTAGGACAGAATTCATGCTGTGAAATACTCTCTTTATGTAAATTTTTTAAAAATTAAAACTGAAAAATATAATCATCTGGATTAAAGAGTGAATGATTAAAATTAAAAATTTGCAAAATTTTAGTTTTGAAAAAATAAATTATAACACATTTTTGTTATAATACGTAAAACAGCTCTAGTGTATTTTCATTTTACAAGTTTTCTGTTTGTTTGCGTAGGTTTTTTTTCGCTTTGTTTTGTTTTTTTAAAAAGGAAATAGTCCTAAATGTATTGAATTTGGATTGCCTCATTCATCATCTTTCTGTATCTTACTGGCTTGTATCTTAATGTCTTGGTTCTCTTAATTGGGTAAAAACTGTTTTTATGGGGAATGACTTTTAATATGTTGTAACCATTTTGTCAGTACAGGTCTCCAAGTTAGCTGATGTCATGGTGAAACACGGTGTGAGGAAAGGAGACCGTGTGGTCATCTACATGCCCATGATTCCACAGACAGTGTACTGTATGCTGGCTTGTGCAAGAATAGGAGCCATCCATAGCCTTATTTTTGGTGGATTTGCGTCAAAAGAGCTTTCTGTTCGCATTGACCATGCAAAGGTAACAAATATCGTGAACAACGGAAGTCATTGAAGTAGTTATTCATGTGAACCAGTGTCAAAGGTTTTTGTTTTGTTTTGTTTTTTTTGGTTTATGTTTTTGCTTTTTCTGATGAGGATAATATTTCTCTTTACTTGAGAAGCACTCCCAGTTTGACAACAATAGCCGGTGTTGAACCGTGAACAAAAAGTGCTGTGTTTATGCTGAGAGTAGTATTTTTTAGCAGTGAGGATAATATTTCTCTTTACGTGAGAAGCAGTCCCAGTTTGACAACAATATCCGGTGTTGAACTGTGAACAAAGTGCTGTCTTTATGCTGAGAGTAGTATTTTTTAGCAGCTATCGAGATACAACTTCAAAGCTTTTTAAAGAAGCCTGACTTTATCATGCTGCCCTCATTCAGACCATGTGTAGTAGCAGGTGTCATCGCAGCACCTTGGTTAGACATACAAGTCTAAAGCTTGGAATGAAGTCTGCAAGGTCTGTGAAAATCTCACTTAGATTTTTGCATTTGGAAGTGCTCTTTACGTTCCTAAGACTTGAATTTTCTGAATAGCTGTACAGAAATAGTCCTTCTAAAACGTTACCAGTTTGAATGGTGTTCCTTCACCCTCGTCCCTCGCCCAATATATATTTTAACAAGAGAGAAGCCAATAAAATGTCTCAGATGGTTTGCTGGAATTGTGACGTTGTGTGGGGGAGCACTAAAAACAGCCTCATAGGTTTTTGCCTCTTACCATTTCCCTCATTTTCTAAACAAGATACGAAAATCACTTTTAACTCTTAAAATCTTTTGAATAGGGAAAAATAATGTGCAAAAAAGGCTGCTAAACTTTAAAAAGGAAAGTTGTTATGGCACAAATCATCTAGTGTTTTTTATATTTAGACTACTTTGCACATATTAACTAATTAATCCCGATGGACTTTTCTTATAGGGACAAAGGGAGACAGCAAAGCAATCATAATCCTTGCTGCACCCTTGAAAATGAAAACAGATAAAGTGATTTTACCCAAGGTCACCTGACAACTGTTTTGCACAGGTAGCTATAGAATACTACCTACAGGCCAAGAATTAAGTTCTAATTTACATTGCCTTTTTTTATTTTTCTGAACAATTTTTGATTAATTTGATGTATGATGGAGGTGTTAAAAAGAGGACGGGTACGTTCTCAATGTAAATTTGGAGACTTGCCTTAATTTTGTAACATTGTAAAGCTTTCTTGATGAGTGAATTAACGTTACAGAGATTATTTTAAAGACACAAGTATAAGTGGTTGTGATGAATGACATTCTGCTGAACTCAAAAGGTAATTGAAGTTCTTGAAAAGAAACAACCTTTTATTAGACTTTTGTGTGAGTGGGTTTAGATGCTGCAGTATAGGACCCAATGCTGGTAAGATTAGCTAGAAAGAGTTAAAGACTTTGGAATGAGGAGCTGCCTTTGAGATGCTCTTTTGGAAGAAAGGTCAGACTTCAAATTTCATTGGAATATCTAAGTGAAGGAAATAAACACCTTTTTTTGTGAGTATAGCAAGGTATATACGCTGCACCAGCTTGCCTTAATTTATCTTGAATTTTAAATAGCTCTGGGAATGCTGCAAAGTCCTGCAGTTGGTAATTGTTAGTCTTGTCAGGTATTGGCACTGCTATAGACGTTATAAGGTGAATTGCGATGAAGTGATACAAAACGCAAGAACAGCCATTTCCCGGCATCTCTCCTTTCACACAAATTTGAGAATATATAGTTTTCAGTATTGAAACAACAGGTAATTCTGCAGAGCATTAACTGTCTTCTGAGAAATGAACATGGTACTTGTTCAAACACTTTATCTTACTAAATTGAGAATACTGAAAAGGATCCTTCAAAACCAATATGGTTATATGCATGTTTAATAGATGCTATGCTTGCAATAGCCAACCTGCCTTGTCTCTTTTGATCATTATATGACAATTCTGGAGGGCTTTAAGATTTTAAGAAGTCCAAATTTTCAGAAATAAAAGTAATGGAGTTTTTCAGACAGCTGATTTTTGAAAATGCTTTGGATTAAAGCAGTATTATGATAAGTGAACAGCAGTTCTTTGAAATGGAAAATGCATGAAACACCACAGTTTTCCAAAGCCATCTGTTATTATCTTCCATGGAGGAAGGAAATGACACATTTTGGGATTTCAGCGAGGCATCCTTCGGAAAAAAGAGGGAGCTAATATTCTGTGAGAGTTTATTCTGAATAAGACATGGTTCCTACAGGCAAGCAGGGCTACAAATGGTCACTTCTGCTTCCCGTCCCAAGATGAGGAGTCCTTCTGCATGACGAGGCAGCAGGCCCAGCAGCAGCTTCAGAAGGGCAGTTACCTCGTTGGCATGGATGAGAGATGCACGAGAGAGAAGCAGCTGCGTGTTCTCTTGAGAAAAGATAGTGATTTAATAAAGTTCAGTGTCAGATAAAACAGGGATTTAATGAGATTCGATGACAAGGCACACTCAGTCATTTACCACATGGAGGAAAGGGTCAGACAAAATTGTCAAATTGTCAAGGAGACCTTCCTCTTCCGAGTGGGCACCCTTGCTTTCCAAATTCCCCCGCAGAGGAATCTGGGAGCAGCTGGATCCAGCCTAAGCCCTGGCTTGGTTGGTGCTTGCTGTCCAGAGGATTATGTGCACGATCCATCAGTGATGCAGCTTAGCAAAGTTTTCAGAGTTCAGATGCTCTGCTAGGCACTTGCCAAGGATCTGTGACGGGTTGGGAATCTCTTGCCGTTGGGGTCCTCCGGGACCCTCCAGCGGCATCGCTGCTCAAGGAGGGTTGCAGCTGCAGCCCTGCTGTGCAGGGGAGCTCAAGGGCTCTGAGCTGCCCCCTTTTTGGGTAGTAAGTTGGCTGGTTTGCAGTCATATTTGCATTCTGGCTATATTTGTGTGGGCTCATGCTTAGTTAGGCCCTGGCTGTGCTGGTTAGAGGGAGGTCAGCATGGAGGGGCTAGGGAGGATGTGCAGGTGAGGGGAGGCAAGCTCACCCTCACAGCGAGGCAGCCCTCTCATGCCTTGTCTCTAAACACTATTTAGCTTTGTAATGCATATTTAAATTACATATTGAAGATTAGAAGGCAATAATGTTCTTTTTTGTTTGTATGGTACAATTCAGGTCCGTTTGTTTAGATCACTGCAGTACACCTGACAAATAAACATGTGTGGTAACGGGGCCTGGGTCACCGAACCGCACAAAGGAACGAGGGGGCAGAGATGGAAGTAATGTCGGGAGGCAGAGAGAGAGGTAAAACCCTAGAAAACAGCAGTTAAGACGAAAAATGATCCAGTGGGTTGCACAAAGTAGTCCGTGGTGTTTCCAGGCAGTAGCTCATTCAGGAAAGATTTAATCTTGGCCAGCTTAGGGTTGGTATTTTTAGACTTCCTCGCTGTGTGTGAAGTATTTGGTGAGCAGAAGAGGCACCATTTAGAAATGACTATAAACTTGGCATTGACAACAGTCTTTCATCGTAACAATTAAACGTAACAATCTTACATTAATTACAGTGTAATTTGAAGGTAGCCTCCAGATGCATTTTCAGCTAAGGGCACTGTGTTGTATTTTCTTTCATTAAAATCACCGTAGCAAATAAAAAACGGAAAGATGACAAATGCTGAAGTTTTAAAGCTTATCTGAAACCTTTATTTTATATGCGAAATAATTAGCAAACTTTCCTGAATGGGAGATTTAGACTGCAAGAAAACAATTTAATCTGTGCTTTCTGTGCAAAGTTTAATGCAACCTTAACTGTGGCACCATGGTTTCTGCCTCCCTAATGAGATTTATGCTAATTATACAATTAGCAAACTAGCTTGATTAGACTGTGAGGTGCACAAGATACATGCATTCTTTCCAAAATGCAAAAAGCAGGAAATTTAGACCTTGTTATTCAATAGGAATGTCTCCTAACAGTCTGTTTGTTGGTACCTTGTATTTCCTGAAATCCTGCAAACAAAAAATACTATCAGATTTCAATTTGTGATCTTGGGACTTCAGTTAAAACATTTTATATGCAACGAAGGAAGGTTTCTTGTCTTAAATTAGGGTGTTTTATATAAAGCCTGAGGTTTATTTTATGAAAACAAAATGCATCTGCTGAATCTACTTTTGGATATTATTCTATTATTGTAGAAGTTATTCAATAAGAAACAGAACTGTGGAAATTCGGATTTTAGTGGATTTGCATCCTGATTGTGCAACCTTCACTTGAAAGACTGTAGTTTTACTTTCCTTGTGGATGTTAAGTTCTCAGCTTATTCTTTCCTGATATTTCAAGTTTCTTCTGTCTTTGCTTTTTTATTCCTTTCTTTTTTAGCTTCCTGTGTTGTTTAATTACAAGTGAGAAGAAAAACAGAAGTGCTACAGTGAGTTCTGTAAGATGCCACTGGACACAGGCAGACAGGAAGAAGGCCAAACAGAACAGATCATTCTTGAGCTAACCGTATGGCCTTTCCTTAGTGGGTACTAATGTGAAGAGGCATTTTTCTGTCTGTTCAGTGCTTTTCAGAAACTTTATACTACTGAGTTGTTACTCAAATGTAGTTGAAAATGACCAAGAGCATCAGAAGATGTAACTTCTGCTGCTGAACAACAACCAGACCTATGGACAGCAAGATCACAGGAGCTTTGCTTCCATAGAAAACTGATCTGAACCCATTTCTACTTAGCTGGAGATAGATTTTATGCATTGTGCTACATTAATTGAATAATTTCATGCAAAAAAAAATAGATTATAAGGTTTGTATAATATATGTAAATGTTACTTACACATATTAACAACCAAACTCATTTATTTTAGCCTAAACTTATTGTAACAGCAAGTTTTGGAGTAGAACCAAAAAGGAAAGTGGAATACATATCCCTTCTGGAAGGAGCCCTGGCAAGAGTACAGAACAAACCTGAGAAAGTTCTCATTTACAGGCGACCTAACCTGGTGAGTGTACAAGGATTGTGCCTTATATTAACTTTCAGATAATATATGGTGCATATGCTTTTCTCTTTTACAAGGAAAATAGATTTTGGTATACGTGTTGTAGTTTGTTTTCTATAGGAATTTTATATTCATAAGATGAAACTAGTAAATAGTTAATAGTAAATAGTAAAAACTAATATAACAGAGAGTTTACAGAAAAATGCATGTCTTTTGAACCACTTTTATTTTATTCCACGTGTTTTATTTGAACACTTCTGTGTTTTTCAATGGGCAGGGCCATGTTCCTCTTGTCCCAGGTCGTGATCTGGACTGGGAGGAAGAGCTTGCAAAAGCACAGCGTTATGAATGTGTCTCTGTTCCTTCAGACCATCCACTTTATATTCTGTATACATCCGGAACAACAGGTTTGCCCAAGGTAAAGGACTATCTGTAGTCTAAATATCTTTGAACATCCCATTTGCAATACTGCTTGAGAAAATATTTAATTTAAAAGGTTGAAAATGTTTGCTAGAGGTCACTACTCTAAATGATAATCATAGTCAGAAATGCTGTAATCTCATATACTCACATTTCAGTACTTACCACATTGTCTATAAGTAAATGATATTTGTTTGTTTAGAATGTAGGGACATAAAAATAAACTCTACATACTTGGAAATGGTTCTACAGTATTCATGTTGAAGGTCAGTGGAGCATCTTTTATCCATGTATAGCTACATATCCATGTATTTTCACCACTTGAGATGCACACAATACAGTCATTCAATGGCAAGATTGGTCAGTGTGTCACTGGTATGATAGCATTTATCGCTAAGCGGTCTTTCTTTATTATTTACCTATTAGCTAATCTTTTCCTAGATGAGATGCCGTGATTGAAATTACAGATTGAATGGAATTAGGTGTGTTTTAAAGGTTTGTGTTGTTGAACAGTTTTGAACAGTATAATTCATGTGAAAATGGAAGTTCAGACTGAGGTAGGCTGGAACACTAACGTAGGGCATGCTTTGAAAATGATTGCTTTCAAATGCCAGGTAGTCTTCATTATCTCATTCCCAAAGAATCTCAGTACGCTGCATACGTTCCTGTCCTTCAAGCCCTTTGTTGTGTTGGTGTACAGCTGATGTTGTACCTTTTTCTGGTGTTTATTGGTCTCTGCTTTGTTTTTTACCTCAGGAAGGAAACAAGGAAAGATGTTAAAATATGTAAGATAGCGATGAAAAGTTAAGATGTTAGATGTTCTTCTTCATTCTCCAGGAGTGAAAATATCAAATGTCTTTTTCTTTTGCTCCGTGACTTAGGCCTAGATTCTGAGTGAGTTAATGAATAAAATATTTTTTTCTTTCCAAAGGAACTTGCTTTTAGTAGTCATACGAGTAAAATCCCTCAATTATGATACCTTCATAGCAAAATTATTTGTTAGTCTCACAGCAGAGACTAAGTTTGTTTAGAAACAGAGACTAACAAAATCAGTCTGCTTTCTGTTAGTTAACAATTCTCTGTTGTGGTCAACTCTGTTTAATGATGTAAAGAGAGAGGAGCCTGGCCAGCGCAGACCCAGATGTCTGCTTTATAGATGTCTACACTGTAGACAAGAGTTTGGTCTGATGAATCTAATTTGACTTTCAGTTCTGGACATGACTTACTGTGTTTATTCTTTGAGAAACAGTTCTAGAAGGTGATGAAATATAAGGAACATATAGATATTACAAAGTAATATTTTTTACATTTTTTACAAATTACAAATATTTTTTACAAAACTTTTATATCAGTTATGTTCTAGAACCAGTTTTGGGCTTGCCAGTCTACAAGATGTTGCTGATGAAAATGTGTTGATTAATTTGATACTCTCTTTTTTAGTTTTCAAATCCCTATTTTAGTATAAGACTTTGATGTGCTTCAGTTTGCTTTCAGTTGTATGTTTCTGACTAGATTCTAAACCTTCCTAATAGAGACATCTGGTCTAAGCTAGTGGTCTGACATTTTACAGTCACTGCAGAAAAAGGAAGGTACTTCCAGGGAGTCATTTATCCTGTTTATTTGAGGCATTGGCAACTTCCACAGGTGCTTCTCTTTCTCCATTGATAATACATTGAGAGAAGACAGTGAGTTTAAAACAGATGCCTAACATTTAGGTGGCTGAAGTTTCAGTGAGGTAAATCTTATTTTTTTTTGTCAGCATATGTTGACTTAATATTTGTATATTCAGTTTTAATGAGAGAATTTTAATGCTTGGTGGTTATTTTCTGAAAACTATTGCCATCTATTTTTTTTTTCCTCCTTTCTTTGCAGTTTTTTCAGTGGGAATATTAGCACAGGCATGTACCTGCAGGAATGAATCCTTATCTTAAATGACAAGCATTGGAATTATACAGTTTTAAATCTATTATTGCTAAAAATCCAAAATTTCCTGAAGAAGGAGTATTGTTGCCTCCTTTAAAAGATCTGAAATATTCAAATTTTCTTTTTCAGGGTGTTGTCAGACCAACAGGTGGCTATGCAGTTATGCTGAACTGGACAATGTCAGCTGTATACGGACTCAAACCTGGTGAGGTAATCCCATTTAAATATCATTAAACTTTTTGGATCTTCTTAAACAAATAAACAAACAAAACACTGTTCTCTGTTCTTATTTGGTTTTAGGTGTGGTGGGCAGCATCTGATTTAGGCTGGGTCGTTGGTCATTCCTACATTTGCTATGGGCCTCTTCTTCATGGGAACACTACAGTTTTGTATGAGGTAAATGTTTCCTATCAGCTTTGAGGTTTCTGCACTAAGTGCAGTGTGGAATTAGGAAACTGCTGTTTTTCTCATTGTGTTTTGTTTTCAGATTATTTCAAAATACCCTCTTTGGTCTGTGTCAGATGATTCCTTAGCTGTAGCTGTGCCAGGATGTCTGGGGTGTGGATGTGTGGTCTGGCTTGGTGGTCTGCGTCACAGGTCTCGAGGTGACACGTTCTGACGGGGTCTGCACTAGAGGTAGTCAGGACAATATGGTTGGAGGCAGAACTCTGGGGATCTCCTCTTCCCTCAGCCTACACAAGGCCCCTGAGGACAGGCTAGGCTTAGCTCTTCCACATGGGGTGCAGAGGAGATCGGTCCAGCCGGAGCGACCTGCTGTATCCTAACTTTGGTGCTCAAAAAAGCAGTCATGCTGCCTTACCTGGTTATTTATTCAGAAGTTATTGTTCATTTTCTTACCACATGTACAGTGTTGCCTGAACCATCTTTATTCTTCAAGGAGTTAATCCAATATCCGTTGTGACAGTGAAAGATATGTTTGATCTGAAAGCACCCACTTTGTTAGCTCTTAAGCATGCTGAGACTTGGTTGCTTGCATTCATCCTGGCATTAGGAATTCTGCATGTATTCTGGATTCTTAAACCCTGTGCAAAGGGAAGCCCACATAGCAATCGTTATGACTTTTTTTAATGTTCCTAAAGGTGGAAGTTTTTCTGGCTCTGCCCTTGCCATGTGAGGATCACATCTGTCAATCCGTAGTAGTAATTAGAAACGTGGCCCATTACAGGAAATCCCACAGTGTCTCATAGGAGAATACACAAAAACTCCAAAAGTATAGTGAGTATATTGGATACTGGGAGCATAAAAGAGCCTATAAAGCAGGCTTTGATAGCAGTTAGAATACAGCAATTGTTAAAGCACCATCTGTGCCCAGTGCTTCTGAGCAGGAGAGTCAGCATGGCATAGTGGAAACACACTGTTTTACAGAAGATCATAGGTGCAGGAAATAGTTATTTTGGCTGAAATTGCTACATCTTCCTGCTGCCACAGCATGCAAGCAAAAGTGACCACACTGGAACAGAAATGGATTGTTCATGTTTTCAAGAACAAGTGTTGTCAGAAAAATCCTTTGGTGTTTGCGCATCCAGTTAGGATGGTATTGCTTGAGACATACCCCGCTGTTGTGAACTCATACACCACTTGCTGTTCAAAAGTAGCTGGCTAGAATTGTGCCAGAATTTTCAGAAAAGGTATTTCTGAATCCTGGAAATGCTAGAGAAGCTCGGACAGCTGAAATTAAGGTGGGGATGCCTCCACAATTATTTGGGTGCCATTGCATCAAATACCTCACTGACTCGCTGTATCCTCTTTTAGATGTCAATGAGTGTCCTTTAACTGTGTGAGTAGCAAACTACTTAGCTGGATTTTTGCAAGCAGAGGCACTTTTTGAAGCAGGTCAAGAATCTGCAAGTCAAGAAAAGCAAGAGTAATTAAGGGCACATCTGTGTGATACTTTGAATCAAAATAGTTGTGCGGTTTTGAAATAAAACCTTTGATTGTCCCTACTTCTTGTTTTGTTTGGGAGAGTGTTTTGGTTTTGGACACGTAAATGAGATCCTTGCAGAGGAAACTGAGGAAGAACCTTTGCCCATTTGGACGAGAGTGTTGGACCCAGTGAGGGGACTGCACTGCTCTGGACTCATCCAACATGTCAAACATGCATGTACCAAAAGAAGACTCTAAAACTGTCAAGAGCCCCCACAGTACTGTGCAATATTTCCCATGCTGTACAAAAAGGGCTCAGTGCCATCTATACTGTCATGTTTGCTAATGGCTGCTGATGTGTCTTGTGCTTCTTGAGGCTTTCTGCTGCTCCTTTATTTCTGCCAAGACTTTTGCTTCTACTTTCCTCACCTGTCTTGTTTCTTCTGCTGTTTTAATCTCCTTTTTTAGAACATTTTTTAAAAATTCCTTTTTTTCCTACTGCTCTGTTTGCAATGGTGGCAACTGTCACTTCAGTCACCAAGAACCAAGAGCAATGAGCAGCTTGGAGCTTGACAGTGTGTGCCCTGGCCAGGCCAGAAGTGCTGCAGAGGCCTGTTGCTGACATTGTGCCTCCTGCTAGGCGGACGAGGACGGACAAGCAGTGCCGCACTCATTCCAGGCAGATGAGGAGGATCTACTTGAAAACTGTGGGGCCGTCATGCATTGGAGTGGCATGATGGAAGTGAGCCCGCCCCAGGGATTGTGGGCAGATCTCCAGGGAAGAGCATGCCCCCAAGGCCACTGCCCTCCAAGACATCCCTGGCTTGGGGGCCCAGGATTATCAGGCCTGTGGGAGAGCCCAGGGTGAAGTGTCCCTACTGTGTCACACACCTCTGCATCCCTGGGACCCCCTATGGAGGGGAGGTGAGGTGACACTCACCAGCATCCCCGTGGTCCACTCTGCCACAGCGTGCAGAGGAACTGACACTTGTGTCAGTGTGCATACTCCTTTTCCATACGTGTATGCAGTGCGGGATATGGTTAGGAGGCTTCTGGTGGAACTGGGCTAAGGGTTTCATAGCTGTAGAAGGGCAGCATGAACCTGACAGAGAGGCGTTGTGTCTTGAGAGGGCAGTGAGCTCTGTGTGAAATCCTGTGCAGCAACAAGCTCCATCGGAGCCAGCTCCTCAGGACCCGCCCGGCCTGCGCGCCAGGATCCGTCCTGGCAGCCACACCAGCCCTCCCTGTGGCACAGCAGGAGGATACGGCTTCTGCACAGGTCTCCGCACAAACACCTTGCCGCGTTGTCTCTCCTCCCTCCAACGCAGTGTGTAAAGGACCTGCCTGTTGGTAGTAAGGGTGCTGGTACTCCTGGCTGCATTTCAGATCCTGTGTGAAACGCACGCGTTGTTGGCCCTCATCGGGGAAGCAGAGGGATAGAGTCCTGTGCCGAGCTCCTGCCGAGTGTGCCAGCTGTGACACCGAGAGCAGAGGGCTGAGCTCGGAGTTGCCTTGCTCAGTCTGTAGAGAAGGGCCCAACCAGGTCCTCACGCTTCTGGGTGAAACTCATTCCTGTAGTTCGGAAGGTATTTGAAACATTGGCACAGAATCTGTCCCACATGGCCAGCAGCCTTTGGGCCAAATGGAGGTTCCAGTTCCATTTATGCATTCAGTAAAGGCACAATCACACCGGGCCTGTGCTGCATCACTGTCAGGATATATGCAGCATCTCTCATGATGCTTATTGAGAATGGCAGGAAAGATCCTGACCTTTCCTGGCAAGAAGGTACTGACATATGCTTTTGAAAACAGAGAATACTGAAACCTTATGAGGGAGCCTGCTGGTGGTAGATGCGATGACGGGCTGCTGTCACCTGCGTGGAGCAGATGAAAGGGGCAGCACGGACTTAGCGGAGAGCCTTCGATCCAGGGGAGGATCTGTAGGCTTTCTGTCAGACAGCCTGTGTTACAGCACCGCTTGTGTCCAGTGCACTGTGGCTTTCGTTTGGGGAACACAGCTAAGTGCAAGGCACAAATCACTTCGAATAGAGATGTAGAGTGTCAGCATTAAGTCGTTTCATTTACTGATCTGCTCTAATTCACCTCGCTACTTGCTGTGTAAACAAAGTCTGGGACACCATATGTGCTCGTTCATGTTTCATGGTGCTATTTGACTTGATACTAAGTTTATTTTTACCAGCACTTGTATTAAGAAGAAATCTGGTAATGTCTAATAGAGCAGCAGATAATGCCTGTCTGAATCCTGTGTATGCTGCTTTATGCACAATTGTGTTTATATTTTCATAATGCATTTAAGGCAAATGTTAAATAAGAACACTGAGATATTTAAAAGCAAAGCAAATTTTGTAGTCTTAAAATGTGCTTTGAATTTAGTCTTTGTGGTTTTAGTATTTTTCTTGTGTTCATTGAAGTGATGTGGGTAGTGTATCAAGCAGTTCTATGAAATAGAATGAGATTTGGCCAGGATTTGTCTCCTTCACATCACTTTGTGATAAGGTCTGAGCCAAATAACTTTGTTTTTAAGTTGCTAAACACTGATTTGCTCTTCAGTAATCTCTCAGGAAAGCAGGTTTTCAAAACAAGTTTTTATTAGGTATTTTTCTAGGTATTGAAGTACACAAAATGGTAACAATAATATGTGAGGTTTTTTTTTCTAAGAATCTAAGAGCTAGGGAAGTTTGGATACCTTGACATTCTCTTCCCCAGGGAAAAAACTTAAATGGTTATTCTTAATTTGAATCTTATCAATTAAATAGATCAAGTTAATCTGCTTACTGTATCAGTACACAGTTTGATAGCTTGCAGTGAATGCATTGTCAAGATCTCCAATGCCATGAATATCTACAGTGTAACTATGGCAATAAAAATTAGCCATTCATTTGCGAGTGCCTGTGTGTATGCTTAGCTCTTTCTTGAAGAGCCTGTGATGTGTTAATCTGTTTGCTTCTGTGAATCCCGCTCACGAGGGCGGAACTGAGAGCTTCTGAGGCAACGACAAGTGTCAGCTTGCTGGTAGCAGGAGATAGGCTGTGTTCAAGTGCATGACACAACTGTGTGCTAGAGCACGTGATGAAGTGCAACATGTCACTTCTGTAGGACATTAGATGGTAACCTTAGGACACCGCAAATTAAAAGTAATAAGAACTAAATATTTTCTTCTTTTTTTTTTAAATGGAGGAAGGGCATCAGCAGGAGAAGGAGCAAGAAAGGAAAAGGCAGAATTCAAGAGGAATGGACAAGTGAATTAACATGTTAAATGCATGAGGTAGAATCTTTTGCAGAACGTGTCCCTTAGCAAATATATCTTCACATGGAAATGGGACTAGAGTAGTTTGGTTTATATGTTCATGTATGAATATGTACACATAGATTTGTATAGATAGGAAAAAATATCCAGAGGGGCTACCACTGTCAGACTGTGTACGTACTTGAACTTGCAGATAACATGAGGTGCAGTGGCAGATCCGTGATGCTTTGTAGTAAATTTTGTA